GTGTGTGTGTGTGTGTGTGTGTGTGTGTGTGTGTAAGTACTGCAGTTAGTGAAAACATAAAGTCTGACTCACTTCCACAGCTGTGGTTCTCCTGCTCTGGTAAAATAACTGGAAAAAGAAAAAAGAGAAATAACAATAAAACATCATAATATATATACAGTGTATATATTTTATGGCCAGATTACAAAAGAAAAACAACCAAACTTCTTTATTTCTCTCCCTATTCTTAAGGAAGACACATAACTCATATTTCTAACAAATTGTTAGTTTCCATGAATGCAGGGTGAACACATCTGTGTTTTTTTTTTTGTTTGTTTTTTACGTTTTAGTGTAAATCTAACAACACTTTTCTCTAGCTCATATGCAGCCGTGTCCTTTGTTTACCTGGCACCTCATGAGCCTGGCAGGGTCTGGACTGAGTGAGATTGCCCTGACAGAGGTTGGTCCCCACTTCCTGTTCGTCCCCGCAGCGACGGGTGCGATGCTGCAGACCCTCCTCATCACAGTCTCCCCAGTCCGTCCATTCAGCCCATCCTGCCGCCAGAGAGAGGAAACAAGGCTGTTTTTTCCATTGTCCAGTCACACCAGGAGGACATGCCTTAGACCAGTGTTTTACAACCCTGGTCCTCAAGGCATACTGTCCTGCATGTTTTAGATGCTCCCCTGCTTCAACATAGCTGATTTCAATTGATAACAGATTAGCAGGGTTTAGTTGAACTGCAGTCATCTGTATCAGGTGTGTTAAAGCAGGGGAACCTTTTAAACATGCAGGGCAGTGTGCCTTGAGGAGCAGGGTTGGGAAACACTGCCTTAGACTCTGTTAGGTCTACCTCTGTGGTTTTACATTTAACTGTCTTCATGTGAACCTCACTGTCACGCAGTGTTGCCTGAATCGTCTATCCAAGGCAAACACAACAAAGCAAAGTGTGAATGAGTGAAAAATGTCACAAACCCTCACCATCCTCTGCCACGATTTCCAAAAACACCAAGGCCACCTTCCCTCTGCTGGTCAGAGCCTGTAAATCAAGTCTACTTGATCCAGCTCCCTCTGAATTCTGCTGTCAACACCTTCTCACAGTACAATGATGTTGGTTTACATGTTCACATTTTAATGGATTATACTGTATATATATTTTTAAGGAGCAAACAACCAAAATAAATGCACCAAAATGATTTAACACAGTTGTTTATACTTTTAGCAGCTCCTTTTATTCCACAGCTGAGCTGCTAAAAATGACAGATTTTCTTTTCTGGATCTCTGACAGACGGAC